TACTGGACTGGGTCGACTCTTAAGTTTAAATCGATACCAAGTCTTAATTTAATTAATTTCATTCACTGTCGCTCTCACTCAATGAATTTGTGTTTTAAAATATTTATGTATGCATATACATATGTACATAAGCTGTACATTAATGTAATGAATTTTAGCCTTAAGATATTTTACAAATAAATAATATTTAAATACTTAAATGCAGTGATGATGTTCCTTACATGGTTACGTATATGTTATACAAACCCTGCTTTACAATTAAAAGCCACACGCTACAGAAATTGCATTAAATACCATAAATATGTAAGTACTTACACAACCATATACAGTTCTCCCCGGTTAATTGAACCGAGAAAAGTTGCACACTTTTTGTATCAATTAAGCGGGTAAATCAATTAAAAAAATCCCGTTTAATTGAACAATTGGTGCAATAAAACGAATTTTTTTAACTGAATCGTTTTTAACTGAATTTGATCCTGCTACTGCATAAAATTAATAAAAACAATAGGAAGCATATCCTATTACATATACTTATCAAAATATCCTAGGTAAAAAGCTATATTTAAAATAGGGGATACACTAATGAAATACTAAAACTCAAATTTTTCTTTATTTCAAAATTTTAAAATTTAAATTTTTCATCATTTTAAATCCATCTAAGTAATGTAACTGTGAATTCAAATTCAAAATATGTAAACCATAATATTTTTATATCACATAACATAACAAAAATTAAAAATAAATATTTCATATTACAAAGAAAACAAAATATTTCATACGTTATATCTAATTTTTCAATAAATTTACTATTGCTAGTTTAACAACAACAAATAGAATAAACAGGTCAATAAACAGGGGAATTTTTCACAGTTTTTATAAGGTAATACCAAAAAAAGAGATTCATTTAAGCGAGTTGTTCAATTAAACGGGACTCAATTAAACGATGTTATTCATGTATATTTTAATAGGGATTTAAAGTTGCCTTAGTTTTTCGTTCAATAAAAGGGGAAAATCAATTAAGCGTGGTGCATTTAACCGGGGAGAACTGTATGTACTTAAAAATATAAATTAAAAGTATATATGCAATGATTAAATGATAGAGTTAATTAAAATCCTGAATTACAATTCAGATGTAATTAAAATGATTCAAATGCAATTAAAAAACAAAAAAAAAAGGGGAAAAAATAATGTGTAAACGAGTTTTTTTTTTGTGTTTTCTTCTTTTAATTACAAACTTCAATTTATTAGTTAACAATATTACTTTTTACATATGAAATGTGTATAAAATTAAAATAAAAATGAAATTGCATCATAAAATCGGTTGTTAAAAGCTTAAATCAAAATTTTTGTGCCAATTTTGGGGAAACTTTGAATAAATAAAGCCAAAGATAAAAATATTACAGTTTCAGGTTGATTTTTGTTATACAAAAACTTAAATCTTTCCGAATTGCATAAAATAATTTATTTTTAGTAATTTTTCATTTCGATTATTATTGTGGCCAATTTTTGTAAATTTTACCTAACATTTTTTGACAATAACAAAATACAAATTTAATTTTTAAAAAGTGGCAAGGTCAAGAAGTAGCTTTAATTTTAAAATGATAATTATCGGAGATACCAGACTTAAGAAGTGCTTACGGCAAAAAAACATTGGGTAAATTACGAAGAGTTATAATTTGACCAGTGTCAAATATTTCTGATTACCCTTACTATATGCTCAAATGTGTAAGTGATTTCATTTGATTAACGAGTTTGGCACTGATCAAAGAGATAAAATAATATTTAAATTAATTTTTTTTTCTCAAAAATACTAAAATTCTCTAATTTTCTCATCGATTTATAAAAAATTTTATTTTAAGAAATATTACATCACGGAAACTTCTAATTCATTTCATATTCAATAATTTTTTTAGAAAACAAAAAAATTCTAATTGATTTTACATACATCTACATAAGTGGAAAGATAAGAAAAGTCTCTCTCATGTATAGTGTGTTACAAAAAATTAAAATAATTTCAATTAAAAATTCAAGTATTTTTAAATTCTAATTTCAATGTAATTGAAATATTTATAAAGGTAAATGTATGAAGCTTACGTTATTACTTAAAAATGTTTGACAAAAATGGTAATATAAAGAGATTTTAGCGACATATCAATTTTTTCTTGCAAAAAAAAATATTTTATAATTTTTTAGAAGCTTTTATAATTTCAAATTGTAAAAATAAGTAAGAAGTGTCAAATTTAAAAAGTTGTTTGTCACATTTAGGAATATTTTATTTAATATTATATTTAGAGTTGGACCATTAAGAAATTCTAAGACAAGAAAATCAAACGAAAATTTTTTTTCTTTTCAAGAGCTACAAAAATCAATTTAAGAAGCAAGTACGTTGTCAATTTAAGAAGCAAGTACAGGTGAAGAAGTACGTTGGGGGTTTGGATAAAATTAATTATAAATTGCAAAAACTGACATTTTTAGTATTTGTCAATCACTTTCTGGGCTGTAAGGCATGTAAAAATTTTCCTGCTGAGAAATTTCTGTATTAGGCACTTTGTTTTCTAATTTTACTGCAAACACTTAGGCATAATGAAATATGATTAAGCCGATATGTAAAACAAATGTTTTTTTTACATTTCTGTATGAGTAATTTGTTTTTAGGGCAAATGTAATTTATTATTCAAGTTTATGCTACTTGCAAGGTCCGTTTTAAATTAAATATTCTGAAATCATAAAATGTAAGTAAGTTTTTGAAAAATATCACTTTTTCTGTCATTCAAATATTAAAATTAGTTCAAAAGAAGTGAAAAAATCTTTTTATTTTTATCAAGAACACGGATAACATTATTAATTTCTTCGGTAACATTCAACAAATTTTAAGTACTCGTATTTTAAATATTTTATATATTTTATATAAGTTACTGATAAATTATTGTTATATTTTATTTTAATTAACAAGCAAATAATTCATTATTTCAAAATTTAAAAGACATTTCATATTCTATATCTAAAGTATCCGTCAAGTCTACAATATCATAAAGAAAACTTTCCATTTTTCATGCCAATTCATGGAAATAATGTAAAAAATGTTAATTTTTTCAGTACTCAAGGTGCATATTTAAAAAGGTTTTTGTTCCGATTTTATTCCGGTAAAAAATATATATGTGCATCTATAACACACACATTTTAATTATTTAAAATTCTATGTAAGTTTTTCCGTCTTATACACCTATAAAAACACTTTCTATGTAAACTTATTTCAATAAATAAACGAAAATAATGTTAATATTCATGAATTTATTTAAGAGATTTCTTTAAACAAAACCTATAATGGCAGTAGTGAACTAAAAACGTGGTTTAGTTTTTCTTTCTTTATGTTTTATTACACAATGACTATACAGACAACTTGATATATATGCATATAGATTTTCTACTCAATCAATTTCCATTAACATTATTTCAATATAAATAATATCAATATTATAATATATTATTATACTATGATAATATATGTGTGTGAATAAGGCTAAGAATCATGGATGCGGTGACAAAATTTATATACCATTTAACCAATATAATAAAGGCAACAATAATAATAACGACAACAATATGATCAAGGTTACAAGTAGGTAGTAGTAACTCACAAATTTGGAACACTTTATGAATATAATTTTATTGAATGTTGGTTGTTGGTGTATATTTTGTTTTTTCTAAAGTGAGTGCCAGAAATTTCTGTGGGTTTTCATTCATTCATAAAAAGCACATAGATTTTTCTTTAAGTTTAACATAAAAATGTTAATTTTTTTTTTCATTTATGTTATTCAATTTCATTTTAGTGAAAACTTGACAATTTATTTAACCATTTTAGCACTCACCTAAATTTATTTAAACTATGGGGAAAAAAATTTAACAATTAACATACATTTTTTTTTCTTTATTTCAAATATATGACTTGCGATCACTAATGCATCTCATATAGAAAATGACTGATCATAAATTGTTTGTTAAAAATATTTTAATTTTTTTTTTTATATTTTGTGAAAAGATAGGACTGTAAAAAATAAATAAATAAAATTTAATATAAAAATTTCGAAATTCATGACATTTCGTTAAAATGCAAATTTTTAAAGTAAATATATGTGCACAATGTGTAAGTTTATGTAAAATTTCAATAAAAATTAAAGAAAAATCTGAAAGAAACTTTATTGTTATTATAACAGTTAAATGATTGATAAAATGAATGCCATTATTTACCAAGTATAACAGATTTCATTCCATTATGTGTAATACATTTTTGTGTTTATGCAAATACGAACAGTTAGAGTAAGTGTAGGTGTTTATTTTTCTAATTTCAATTAAATTTATTGATAAATTTTAATTATTTGTAAGTTATTTTCGAAAAAAATGTATGGTACCTGTGAAATATGTGTTAGATTTGAAGTCAGAGCAGTTTGCAAACTACATAATTGAAATTTCTTAAAATGTCTTCTAACTTTTTTCTAAAAATTAAATTTGAAGTGTAGGGTAAAATATGTTAAAATCGAAAAAAATCAGATTGTACTTTGAATATTTTAAATTATAATAGGTATGTTAATGAATTAAATAAATAAGTAATTTAATCTAAGGTATGCCAACTCAATATCGTCAGCATTGTTTCCATGCCTACAATAAATTGCATATTATAATTAATTGTAACTGGTATCTAAAATATGTACATTCAAATTTTTTTAAGGCAATAATTTAAACTAGGTTTAAATTCAAATCTTTTAATTATTATTAATAGAGATGAAGCCATTAATTGTTCACATTTAATATGATCAATAGTTTTATTGATCACATCTTAAAAATTTCCTTAAAACTTTCGGATGTATAATATGAAAGCTAGAAAATTTAGAATACCTAGATCGTCGATTGTTGAGAAAAAATTTGACAGAACTCAAAGAAAAATTTAATAATAATATGAGAAATTATTTTTAATATAATTATATTATATGAATTTAACTCACCTGCATTCCAGTATCTCTCAGATGTTCATTAACCCAATTACGAAATGTATTGGCTTGTATTTCAACCCATAAATCTTCATTACCTCGTATATTCATACCTTTAGCAGCAGTACCTTCAGGACTTCTTGCAACAAGTCCTGCATGGGTAATTTTTTGTGTTTCGGTGGTGCCATCGGGATTATGTTGTAATAGACCCGCATGTGTTATTTTGGCACCTTTTAAATCCTTAAAATCCATCATAAAAGTTATTATAAACTTTTATTTAATTTTTAACTTTATTGTAGTTTCTCCTTTTTTGTATCTCTTTTTTTCTTATTTTTACTTTCTTCTTTTATTAACACTCATTTAAAATATTTGAAAATTAATTCACTTTCGATTTTTTATACAAAAAATTTGTATTTTGATTTTTTTTTTCAAATTTATCGTGCGTTTCATAATAATTATTGTTCATAATTAACATTTTCACATTTTTTTTTTCTAATTTTAAAAATTCATATTTCCTAAAAATTCAATGAAGGTTTGATGAAATTTTTATATTAAAAATTTTGAATAAAATTAAATAAAAATTTTGTAATGCTAAGCACTATAAAAAAAAATTATTTTATAAAAAATTTTAATTTTATTTATTTTATTAATATTACTCGTATATATTATTTTTATTTCATATTATTACAATAATTAAATCAACGAGAGAAAATGAAAAAATATACATATAAAAATTTTTTTGTCGAATAACGCGAACTATTCGCGCGTTAAAATTATTGCGCATAATCCAACCATTATTAAAACTAAACTGATTAATAGATTTTATTTTTTATCGACTGCCGCTGCCGCGCACATCAACATATACTTATTAGCAAATCAATACCATACGTTCATTCATATTAGCTTTTACACGCTAGAAATATGTTTGAATATTTCAAAGCAAACAGAAAAAAAAATAAAAAAAAAGAAGAAAGCAAAAGTAAAAACTCTTTTTTTTTATTTTTTAAAAAATAACAATAAAATGTAAATATTACAAGTTATTAAAAAAGAGTTATTTTTGAATCGACTTTAATGTAAAATATCAAGTTGTTCCAGTGTTATTCGAAAATAATTCGAAAAAATTATCAAATAGTTGTGCCAGTATTTTATAAGATATATTGTGTATGGTCGTATGTATATGAATTGAAGGTTAAAGTTTAAATATTTTAGAATTTAGAAAACCCCGTGGCAACAATAAAAAGTTCTAATTAAGAATACATAAATTATTGTGTTAAAGATCTTAAAACAAGAGACTAATTTTAAATTTTCACTTTGGATCATATGAGCTTTAATTGTCATTTTTCAACACCTGCACTAACTTTATTGTAATGTATATACGAGCTAACTTCAAAAAAAATTCTATATTTTTGCAAAAATTTTTATTAAAATAGACGACCCTCAAAATAAAACCTCTCTCTCATTGAAATAGATGCCTTAAACCCTCTCTCATCTCAGAAAACATTAAAATCTTCAGAAGTACATATTCGAAATTAATTAAAAGCACAATTGATTTTTGGCTTATATCGCAGTTATATTTCCAAAAACTTTTAATGATTCCAAGTTGATATAACATTCTGCATGGTTTGGATCTTTATTATAAAAAATTATATTTGAATTTGGCCAATTTTATCGAAAAAAATTTTTGTATAAGTAGTGTTTTATATTAAAAATTTTATTTGAGCTAAACAAAAATCGAATTAGTTGTGCTGCAAATTGAACAACGACCATTTTATATAATTTTTCGAAATTCTGTAAATTCTCAAATGTTTATGAAATCAAAACTATGCAGAAGTGTCATAGTAAAAACTTGTTATTTTTTGCGAATTTAAAAATTCTCATAATATGTTTTCTAATTTTTCTACTTTAATTTTCCTTTGTCAATCTTATATACATATGTGATCAAAAAATTTATAACATCAATCGAACTTAACAACAGGTATTTAATTTTAAAATAACACAAATTTAGTACATAGTGTTATAAAATAAATATAACGTATATACATACATACGTGTTTTAATAAATATATAATATATTTATTAAAATTTAGTTTTCATAATCTATGTAGTTAAGATTTAAAATAATTTAAGAGCATTTGTGATGTAAATTGAATAACTAGTTTTATTTTGATAGACATGCACGCATACACACAGTAATATATTCAGATGGAATACAATTATATATACAAATAAATACACATGTTGTTAAATACAAATAATGGAATTAAATATAAGTAATGCAAATTAAAACCTAATTTAAATACTTTTAAAATATGTGAATAATATATGAAATATGTACTTGTAAAACATGTGTACGTACATGTACATATGTATGTAAAATAAATTTATTTATAAAATAGATTTATTTAGGGCATAGCACGTACCGGGTATACCATATGAAAAGTAAATTGTGATAAGGTTAAGTATATTAATATTATACATTCATTTAACAATATCAGTTACATTACAAATGATCGCAGAGATGAAATTGAATTCACGATACTTATTGGATGTGACACATCGGAATAATATGGAGCAGTGCGTAAGTGGATGTTCTGCATAGAGTTCTCTTGATATGTGAGTAGAAATTAATTTAATTTTAAATACTCAATATTGGGAGTCTTATATATAGTAAATACCTTAAAAATTTGTACGTTAAGAATGTTCAGTGCCCTTAATAAAACCTTATACATATATAGACTGTAATATGAAAAATACTAAATTCTGCAGTCATCGCTGTACAATTTCAGTTTTTTTTTTTCAGGAGAATCATGAAAATCAACTTCTGAGAAGTGTGAAGCCAGAGAGGCGTATAACTGACAGTTTTATTCTTCAAGTGTTTTGACAATTTAGAAAAAAGGGAGAAAAATAATTTCTATTGACTCGACCACATAGTCTTTTCAAATATGGTGTTATAAATTCAATCAATCCTTAGAATGGAGGCAAAAAAAAAATTGCGATATTGTGACATTATAAGAAGACGATATTTATCATTTTCGACTATACGACTATGCAGTATAAATTTGAAATTTGCAAAGTTTTGATTTCTTGATGATTTAATCGTATGAAAATTTCGAAAGAAACTGTCTAAATCTCTTGTACTAAATCTCTTATATTTTAAATAGCATATACCGTAAAATTTTCCACAATAAATCACTCGTTTTGTTTAACATACATATTTGTAATATTTATCGTAAATAAAATAATTTATATACTAACCGACTTTGGTATAAGTTTACCCATCACTTTTCCATACCTATAATTATTTATGATTGTACTTTTTACCTGCATTATACTTAGTTACATTTTTATTTCATATAACTGTCATTATCGTGTCGCTTTAAGCAACAATTAAAAGCTAAAAAAAAATAATATATAAAACAGATACAGGTGAAATTAATTGATTTTTTTATTATTTTTATTTTTTTTTTTCAGAGTCTCATTCAAGATGATGATCACCAATAGCTTTGGAAATAAATATCAAAATAGGGAAATGTGGTATACATAATAGAAGTAGGTACTTCCATATATTGATTCGTTTTATTTTGACATATGATGTGAATTGCTTTTAGAGTTTCAATTACAATAAAAAAAATACTTCACTAAAATTATTGTTTAGTTACTATTCCCATTATCTTTATTATAGGTTTTCATTAAAATTATCATCAGGAAAACAATTATAATTTGCACGAAAGGAAATCAAATTTAAAAAAAAAATGACAGAGGAAAAAAAATCCAAAATAAATAAGTAGATGTTAAAAAAAATGAATACCTTTGATTCCAGTACATTTTTGTAGCAAAATTAAAAGAAATAGACTTATGTTTTAAATTTGTCTGTATGTTAGCAAAACACCATTTTTGGGAAAACTAACTCAAAAACTCAAAAATAGAATTATCTAGTTTTCTTTTTGTAAAGATTTTGATTTTTATGTTATTTCCTTTAATGATATATTCCTGTATAATTCAGGAAATTGTCGTGGAAATTATTTATCCGAAATTATTGCCCTTATTGTGAACGTTCATATCAATCATAAAAATAAATTTTGGAAATTTTTATCCTGTCAGGTATAGCGGAAGACAGATATTAATCAAAAGTAGGATATGGAAAAGCAAAGTAGCAAAAAACAACGCTTCTTTATAAGGCACTTTATTATTCTACATCACTTTGAGTTTTTTTAAGGAGACGTGTATGTAATTGTGATGAGAGCAGAATGCAACAAAGTATAAGAGGAACATCAGGCGCGAGAAGATTATTTCAGTAGAACTTAATGTTTTTTAAGTTAAATGAAAAATTCCACAAAATTATAAGTTTTGTTAAGCAAAATGTGCTTTTTTATATAAAGTATTTCTTTGAACCGAAATCTTTTGTTTTTTCTTCATTCACAGTCATCATAATCTTTTGTGAATCACATGTCTTTAAAATTTAAAATTTTTTTACAATAATTATATTAAATTATAATAGTATTAAAATTATTAGATTACATCATGAATCACATTATGTGAAGTGCTTTTTTTCCTTGTTTTTTTTTTTTTGTTGTTGATTTGATTATTGTTTTCCGCTTCTCTATATTTTATTGTGATTATTGTTGCGCGAGATGCGGTTGATCAGTTAAATGCAACCATCAGAAAACAAATAAAAAAAAATTTTTTACACTTTTTTTTTTAAAGCATTTTTTTTTATTTTAATTTTTTGTTGCCTTTACTTCGTGTCAGTTATTATGGTATGTAATCTTAATTAATTTGATCTATATATATATATATATTAACACTATATTGGAAAAATGAATCAAATAGATATTGCAAAATTTCCGTTTCGCATAATGATCTGGAAAATTTATTCTGAATTATAGCAAGTATTAAACAAAACAAAAAGTGGTTAGTTTGGATTCCGCTTTGGCAAAACATTATTAATAATTATGTGTTCTCAAAATACTTATATAATGAAAATGAAAAAATTTTTTTGGTTATATGAAAAATTACTATTGGTTTACTGGTAAATCGTATTTGTGAAATGTTAAAATAAAATTGAACAAATATATAGGAATAAAATGTGATAATTTATTATGTTGTTAAAAGTTGTATTATAAGAAATATAAGTGAAAACGGAATAACTTTATACAAAATATGGGGATTTGATTGCAGAACAGGGGTCGTAGCTAATTCTAAAACTAATTTTTCTCTAAGAAATGTGTCAAATTGTGAGCTATAGACCAATATATGTATGTCAACTGCCACATTAAATTATTGGAGCAAAACATGTGAAAATGTGGTTCCACATGGTTCTAATGAAGCTGAGAATTATCTTAGAAAATAAACTTGAGTTTTTCGCCTACATTTTACTTTAATAAAAGAAGTTTGAAACATAAACTCCCTTCTTGCAATTTCCTGAAACAAATGTTTGTATGTCAGTTTACATTTTGTTAGTTAGAGCATTTTCGTTTGAATCTTTCAAACCTTTGAAAGATTCAATCGAAAATGCTCTAAAAATGCTCTTTGAATCATCATAATTTTACTTTATATATTAGCAGAAATATATTTTCTAATATTCCTTTATGTAATATT